AAACTTAATGGCTACAAATTCATCAATATATGTCTTGGCCCTAATTGGTTCCAAGAGAAAATTATTCATATAAAACCCTTTTTTTCCGGCAGGCTAAAGAAGCCAAGCGCCTGAAAGAGTTCCTGGAGGATTATGATGATGACAGAGATGATCCCAAATACTACAGGTACAAACCCAATGAAATGATGCAAATACTTATGTCAAGGTTGTTGAATAACAGTAATGCAGTTTTTACTCTGCAAGATTATGAAAAAGGTCTCAAAATATAAATATTTTTAATTTATCATTTTACAGTAGGTAACCATAGTTGAAGAAAAACCCATATATTCTGTTGTGCTCAAATACATTATCTCGCCCTGTCTATAATTCTAGTCTTGCTCTCTTTTTTTGTCTGTCTCAGGGGCAGTGCATTGCAGAAGCGATTGAGAGATAGAGAGAAAGAGGTGGAATTAGATGAGAGGGACAGAAAAAGAGAGAAAGATGAGTTGGAGGAGATCAGACAGAGACTCCTAGCAGAAGGACACCCAGACCCTGATGCTGAACTTCAGAGAGTGCGTATGTGTGTGCGTTTTTATGTCTGCATTCGTCTGCATCTGTGCGTCTAACTTTGTTTTTTGCCTTAAAGATAGAGCAGGAGGCTGAGAAACAGTGGCAGCCTCCTCTAAAGCAAGAGCAGAGCGAGGAGGTGCTGCACATCTCCCATGAGGAGCATCAGAGAAAAGAAGGCGCGGAGCAAGAGGCGTACTCCTCAGACAATAACATCACAGACCGAGAGGAAGACGAAGAGGAGGACGATGATGACCGAGAGGTCAAGCCATGCTTGAAGCCCACACTCAGACCTGTTCCAACGGCGCCCTCTATCTCTTCAGCCAGTGGCAATACCACGCCCCTCACACCTGGCAGCGAATCACCACAGGGCATCACGTTGCATGAGAATGCTTCACATGAGGCCCCGCCCACAGAAGAGCTCAGGCCTAAAATAGGCCTCAGTCTCAAACTAGGTCTGTGGTGTTACTTGAACTATATTTTCTGTAAGGAATTAACAAAAGCATTGGAGCTGATGTGCAACAAATTCAGATTTAGTGAGATTTCTTATATAGGAATAGGAATATAGGAATTACTTTATTATTATGATTAAGCTTGACCCCTAACCCTTGTTTTAAACATCTAAACTGCGATAGTAGTTACTTCAGCCTGAAGCACTGAACAACTCAGTTCTATCTATCTATCTATCTATCTATCTATCTATCCATCTATCCATCTATCTATCTATCCGTCCGTCTGTCTGTCTGTCTGTCTGTCCTATTTTTATTTAGTCTATCTATTTTTATTTACACCACCGTTCAAAGGTTTGGCGTCTTTTATTTTGAAAAGAAATTAATACAGCAAGGATGCATTATTGATCGAAATTGACAGTAAAAACATTTATAATGTTACAAATGGTTTCTATTTCAAATAAATTCTGTTTCTTTTGAACTCTCTTTATCAAAAAATCCTGAAAAAAAACACTTTAAAATAGAAAACAGATGAAATTGTATTTGTAAATGTATTTTTGATCAAATAAATACAGCCTTGGTGAGCATAGGAAACTATCTTTTCAAAACAAAACAAAACAAAAATCTTACTGACTCTAAATTTTGAATGGTAGTGTACATTAATAATATATTCAGTATTTAGATTTTTTTTTTCAGAAAGTTTTTCTTCTCCTTTGCATCAAATGATTTCAAACTACTTTTTGTCTCTCAGGTGCTGCAGGCAGTCCTAAATTGCCCCAGGCAGGAAGACGAAAGGCTCTTGCTGCGGTGGACAGCATCTTTAATAAGTTTGATGAGGAGGAGGCGGAGGAAGCACCCAAAAAGAGGAAGCTGGTACCTCTTGACTACAGTGAGGATGAGAGGGGAGGCCTTAGCCTAGATGGAGCAGAGGTCACAGGGTCACGGCCTGGTGTAAACACAGAAGAGAAACGAAAACATATCAAGAGTCTGATTGAGAAAATTCCCACAGTCAAACAAGAGCTGTTTAATTATCCACTGGACTGGAACATGGTGGACACGGTGAGAGAAAAGCTATTAGACAAGCTATTAGTGTGACTGCTTTAAATGGCTGTTTATTTGTATATTGTTGCTTATATCGAACGGTTTATGTAGACGCGTGTGCATGTAATGTATTGATGACTCTTTTGCCCACACAGACATTGATGGACAGGAGGATCCGCCCCTGGATCAATAAGAAAATCATAGAATACATTGGAGAAGAGGAAGCCACACTAGTTGACTTTGTCTGTTCAAAGGTGCGTGTTTCTGTCTATATCTTAGTGGGAATATTGTCTGTTTTCCATTCTCTGTATTAATGTGTTTTGTCTTGTTGCAGGTCATGGCTCACAGTACGCCAGAGGGAATTCTGGATGATGTTGCCATGGTAAATAGCACATTTAAAAGTGGTTTGATATTTGCACATACTCTTAATAAATAATATTGGGTGAATCTCACAAAACCTGTCATGTCAGTATCATGTTTCACCCTTATATTATATTATATTTATTATATTATATTATATTATAGTAGAATATGATATTTTGAAGTATATTACATAAGTCAAATTTAATATTTCTTTTCATCACAATTAAGCACATTTCTCATTACCAAAAGTGCCAAAGTTTCTCATTACCAAAGTAATTTTAACAATAAGCATTCTGTAGAAACACAGTAACAAAAAAATTCATTTTGAGGTGAATTATGACCTGGACATGTTTTTGTTAGATTCACCCCTTTACTGTGTGGATAATCATTGGGTGTGTTTCCTACAGGTATTGGATGAGGAAGCAGAAGTGTTTATAGTGAAAATGTGGAGGCTTCTGATCTATGAAACAGAGGCCAAGAAAATCGGCCTGGTGAAATAACGTGAACTGAGAGTGATAGAAACAAGCAGGAGAGAAGTGAAGAACTCTCCTGCTTTTAGAGCCTTTAAATTAAAGTATGGTGGATGAATACCACACACTGATGCACTTCAACTCTTCCCATATATTCCAGAGGATTAACTGCACAGCTACTGGTGTGAATGAGTGTGTGAATGTGTGTGTGTGTGAGTGTGTGTGCATGTGCACACTGATGTGTGTGTGTGTATAATGTGCCAGTTGGTCTGACTGCATTGCCAAAACCGTGTAAAAGTCGAAAGTTCTTTCATGCCCAGATTAAACGGGGAGTCTAGTTTGGTTGGCTGTTTTCCAGTTGTAGGTTTTATTTCATTATTTTTTCAGTCTCCAATTTTTAGCACAACCAATTTAAATCAGCTTACATTTTTTTCCTTATATTATTTGAGTGAACTCAGTTAGATTTTAATGTCTACCTGCCTCATTACAGGAAGGTATGATGATTTTTTTGTGCTGTATTATACAAACAAACAATGTTTGAGTAAGGATTAAATATTTCATTGTAAACAAACTGAATGAAGCCATACCTGTGGAGATATGGGATTTTCTCCAGGTTTGTCTGGTTTTGCGGCAGTGGTTTTGAATGTGGTGTATTTTGCACATACCAGCCCATCTGAAGGTTTGTTTCCATGGTGATTGATTTGACTTTGAAATATTAAAATGTCTGATTTTCTAAACTAGAACCACTTCTGTTGCTACTTTCATCTTTTTTGCTTTTATAATTCTCAGATTGAAATCGTTGCTGACCACAGGATTCACCGAAAACAAGTAACATTATATAATGTATTTAATTTTTATGACTTGATGGTTAATGCTAAACAAATCAGTGCTTCAATGAATTGGGGAGACTAGGGCAAGTTGTCACAGGGTAACTAGATTTTGAGTCGAAGGTTCAGATACTAAAAAAGTACTTTTTCTCTCATTTTGTTCTCTGGACAAAGAAATATTCATAAATGTCATGTTTGTTTTATACAATTTACTAATTAATTAATTAATGTATTTTTGCCCAGCAGAAACTGTACATTTTCTGTTTAATCTTGCAGTTCCATTAATTGTTTTGTTTACATTTTATTTAAAAGACGTTAAACAGCTGCTATATAATAGAGTACCTAATAGCAGGTTCCCATTGTGACAAATAAAAATTCAGCGTGTCAGTATAAGTTCCCTAGGTAATGATGGAAATGTTCAGTTGCCAGTCAAGTGTTTAAAAAAAAAAGCTATTAAAAACACATCTTTCTTTGTTGTCTATATTGCAGTTCTAGTGAAATTTCTAAGGGTGGCGCAGTTACTCAGGGATGCCGGTGAGCGCCTCTCCCCGACAAGCTGAACTAAATGTTGAGTGACTAATGCTAATTCAGAAACGTTCTATTCAGTGTTTTTATTTAGCACATACGTTCTTCCTGTGAAAAAGGCCTGTGATGTATGAATCAACTTGGACTTTATGGAAATATCCAGGATCTTGTGGACTGTGCAAGTAACAGGTGAGAGAACGGCCATGTGATTTATGTACGTTACTGCTGGAGTAATAAACTGTTTAACTCGGAGCTTCACAACAATTGCCTGTGAAAAGAGAAAAAAAGATTTTACATCTATATATTTTTACCGCAGTTGTCAAGCTGTAATCGCAAAACTTTACGACAAGATGGAGCCAATATTTTCACCTGTTTATAACCGATGTTTCGGTTACTGCACCACTGACGGAAAATTGCAATTTGCGTTGCGTGAGAAAAACTTTTAAAAGGTATCAATAATAACAGAAGTGAGCACGAAACAATATATATCAATCCAAAGAAAAAGTCAACCTCCCCTTCTTTAAATTCGCTCTCTGTTCACTACTATTGGTCTTTTGTAAGTTGGGCAAAAGAGTTGCAAAACCAGGTTGGAAATGGTAGGAAACACCAGGCGAGATATATTAATAAAGGATCGGGGGTTACAGAGAGAGAGAGAGAGAGAGAGAGAGAGAGTGGTGCACAGGGAGGAGGGGGGAGACCTGTTACTGCTGTGCCAACTGCGCGCTTTCACTGCGCAAAAGCGCACAGAACTGTTATCTGCTTGAATCGAGATAGCATTCTCTTGATTCATTTTCTTATCAAAGCTTTTTTTCAAGACAAAATGTATTAATTTTACTCTCTTAGCATGTCTTTAGTATTTACGAAGTTGATCAGAATCCTCTTGACATACGAGGACCCTGCGTCTCCATGCGCCTTTTCTTTGAACTCACCGTTCCTAACATTTAACGCCATTTAAATGTTTTGAGACTAGGGCTGCGAGGATGTGGACGCTACCGAGGACCCGGTTCGCGCACTGTAACGGCTCGTCGAGCAGCGACGACAAAGAAATCGCCGTAAACATCGGCGGCGTGCGGCTGGTGCTGTGCGGAGACATTCTGAACCGCTATCCGGACAGCAGGCTCGCCGAACTAGTGAACTGCTCAACTCGGAGTTTTGATGTCATTTCCTCGCTCTGCGATGATTACGACCCTGGAAAACGAGAGTTCTACTTCGACAGAGATCCCGACTCGTTTAAATGCATCGTGGAAGTGTACTACTTTGGAGAGATCCATATGAAGCGCGGAATCTGCCCTATTTGTTTTATCAAAGAGATGGAGTTTTGGAAGATCGACTTGAGCTACTTGGACGAATGCTGCAAGAGTAACTTGACTGAGAAGGAGGAAGAGTTGGCAGAGATTGCAGACAAGGTGAAACTGATCCTGGATGATCTGGACTGTGACCCTAACGTGAGCCGCACTGAAAGGTGGCAGAAGTTCCTCTGGAAGTTCATGGAGAAACCAGAGTCCTCGCTCCCAGCACGCGTAATTGCCGTTGTGTCCTTCCTTTTCATCCTAGTGTCATCTGTGGTGATGTGTCTCGGGACCATACCGGACCTCCAGGTGGAGGACTCCGAGGGGAATCGCGTTGAGCACCCGAGCCTGGATGCTATCGAGACGGCGTGCATCGGCTGGTTCACAGTAGAGTACGTGCTGCGCCTCGCATCGTCCCCAAACAAGGTGCGCTTCACGCTCTCCTTCATGAACATGATAGACTTCTTGGCCATCCTGCCGTTCTACGTGGTGCTGGTTCTCACGTACCTCGGCACGGCCATGATGGAGCTGGCCAACGTGCAGCAGGCGGTGCAGGCGCTCCGCATCATGCGCATTGCGCGGATCTTCAAGCTAGCGCGCCATTCTTCTGGCCTGCAGACGCTCACGTACGCGCTCAAACGGAGCTTCAAGGAGCTGGGGCTGCTCCTCATGTACATGGGAGTGGGCATCTTCGTGTTCTCCGCGCTCGGGTACACCATGGAGCAGAGCCACCCGGAGACACTGTTCAGAAGCATCCCGCAGTCCTTCTGGTGGGCCATCATCACCATGACCACCGTCGGCTATGGGGACATCTACCCAAAAACCACCCTAGGCCGGTGCAACGCGGCCATCAGCTTCCTGTGCGGGGTGATCGCCATAGCGCTGCCCATCCACCCTATCATCAACAATTTTGTCATCTATTACAACAAGCAGAAGGTGCTAGAAACCGCCGCCAAGCACGAACTGGAACTCATGGAGCTGCGCGAGCTCGAGCTCGCGGTGAGAAGCTCCTCACGCCGGTCTGACGCGCCCGGGAACGCGTGGGAAGGTGCCTTGCGCGCGTCGCGTAGCGATACATACATCCCGCTCCTTTCGGGAGCGCACAGAACTGAGAGGGAGCCCGTGAAGAAGAAAAGCCTGACTTAGGCCAAAAGTGAAAGAAACTTGCAAAGCACTTTAAGTTTCACGAGAGCTAGTGTTATTTTGGTCATTGTGCGCTATAAACTGCTGTGCTGCAGTGTGACCGTCAAGCTACTTGTGGTGTTTTCACTGGACATCAAAAGTCAGTTCCTCTTCAAAAGTGTTATTTTGTCTTTATTAAATAAAGTGCATGTCAAACTTCACGCGTATGTGTTTTAGATAACCAAAATATTTACATCAACATAATCAGAATCATACTAAACATACACACACGTACAATGAGCTACAGGTGTGAAATCAGTCTCATACATGATCACCATCCTCCAGAGGTGACTGTAGAAGTGTAAAAAATAAAGGATTTACAGGACACAAACCAAATTTGTGGTCAAAGTATAATTTCACTTTTTTTATTTTATTTTAGATCATGTTAATGGATGGTAAGTGATTAAATTGATATTGTGAAATGGCGTTGTCAAAATTGTAGCATAAAAATTCATAAGCAAAATTAAATTTTTATACATGTGTAGGCCCATTCATTCATTCATTCATTTTTTTAGTATTAGTGTTACCACTATTCCCAGTAGTGGGTTAGATTTTAAGAACATCACTCCTTGAACTTGACAGTAATTAGATACTATTATTTTGTAACTTTTGCTCACGAAATACTAGTATTGGTACTTTTAGTCAGCTCAATTTTGTTCACTCACAGCAGAGAATAAGTGTTTTTGACAAAGGCTGCAAGAGAATAATGCACTGCTGAAAGTGGCATTCCCTTGCTGAAAGAATCTGAACAATTTTTCACTCATTTATCTATGCAATTTATTAATTCCATCCATTCCGTTATCTGCCATTATGTGACTCAAGTGTTTTGTTGACATTTAAACATCCAATTCTGTGTAATCTCAAGCACTTAATGGCATTTAATGTTTCGCTAAAAATTTAATTTTGGAATTATGCTGGATAAAGAAAAAAAAACATTTCAGTATAAATGGAGATGTCTAATAAGAACTGATTCTCAGAATTCTCCTTTTGCTAAGAAAGGTAAATGGCTCTTGGGTGAAATCATTCATCCATTCGTTCTTCTTAAGTTTTACTCGGCGTCTTCAGTCTCATGAAAGAAAAATCTCAAATGAGATCTCTTTTTCTCCATCTTTAGACACCAATCAGATGTGAAAGGTTTGTGTGACCAGACTTTGGTTCAGCCGCACTCAGCTTGTTCTCGCTGTAAAGGTGACGTTAGGAGCACAGCTGGGTGTTTTGTGATTTAGAGCTTGGCTGAATGTGTGTGTTTTAGTGCAAAATTTAGGAGACTGTCTGATTGTTAGTGATCATTTGTAAGCACTGATCATGTTCTGCCAGCTCACGCCTACAGTTCTGCTGCTCATTAGGGTTCTAACAGCAAAAATAATTAGTCCAACACTCTGGCAATTCCAGTCCGAGAGAATTACTCCAACACGGTGCAGTCCTTCACACAGACAGAACAACTTGACCTTTTACTTCAAAGAGCGCCAGTGAGAAAACGAGTAATGATTGTCTTTTATGAGACAGAAAAAAACTGCCTTTTCACATTGTGCTCCTAACCACCTTACCCAAGGAAATGATTCGATGAATAGAGGAAAAGCTGCATGGATGAAACCCTTTTTGAATGATTCCTGTTTCACCTATGTTGTGTATATAGTATTTCTGCTGTGTTTCAGATTTGTGCCCTGGAGAGAGGGCAAAAGGTACTCCACAGGGGCGTTATGGGTATCATCATTATAAACTTCCTCAGCATTGTGTCTGTCTGTATGGAGGATGTGTGTGGGGTCAGCTTTTGCCATCATTGTTGGGATCAAATTGTGCCCACAAGGATAGTACAACCTGTAATTACCTACATGACTGGGAACATCTAATGGTCCCTATCAGCAAAAAATGGCTTTAATAAAGCACATTTAAAAATGCCTTAAATGTAGAGTTCGCCCAAAAAAAGAAATTCTGTTATCTACATCATTTACTCACCCTCATATCTTTTAGAATAAATGTTTTCCTTCTGTACGACACAAAAGGAAAAGGCAGGACATTCATTCAGATCTTTTCTGTAGAATGAAAGTGAATAGTGACCAGGGACTGTAGCGTAGTGTAGTGTAGTGTAGTGCAGTGAATGTTTTGTACATTACATTCCAAGTTTTCTGAAGCGGTTGTGTGTAACAATGTTGAAATTTGGCATGTTGCGATTAGTTATGAGAATTATTCATGGTCATTGATATCAAACCTGCTGTTTGGTTGATGTGTGCAAACATGAAAAAGATTTGAGAACTATGGTGGAAGAAAAATCTGTGATTTACATTTTAAGCACTATCAACATTCTATAAAGCTAAGTATAGTTAAAGTCTATTAGCATATTTACTGACATATCGCTCGAGACTTAGGCTACTGATATAGAATTATAATTAAACTTTATTTGGAGTATTACCTGTGCACAAGGCACATTTCTTAATATTAAGCCTAAATTGTGTTTTAATGTCGCTATTGATGAAGATTGTCTTTAAATGCAAGATATTTAAAGTGTACCTAAAGTATATCCTTGCTATAGTTCCACTTTAGCACAATCAAATGTACTTCAGTATATCTTTAGTTGGACCTCAGCACTACTTTCGCAATATTAAAGTGCATTAAGCAAAAAATTAGTTGTTCAAATTTAGCAGACTGTTTAGTATACTAAAAGTACAATTGCAGGGTATTTTTATTAAGCACATAAATATGTAAATATATTTGTAGTATATTTAGCATGAAATAAATGTATTTCATATACATTTTAGTATATTTATTTTTCACTAGGGTATGCTTTTGTGGTCAATGGAAGAATGCAACTATTAATTTGAACTTTAATTTTAATAGAATATATTATTGTTGTTATATTAAATATTGATAGGTTTAATATTAATAATTGTTTTCTTCAAACATTCTGAATTTTTAATTGCAATAATTATTGAAGTAATTACATTTTAAATAATAATTTATATTATAATTCTGTTGTCGTTAGTTCAACTATTAACATTAAATGTATTATTAAACTTTTAAAGTCATCATGAATTAGAAATTCACACTATCTATTTTCTAAATGTGCATTATTGATCTTACTGTGAACAATTCAACAATGTATTTATATCTTTTTTATTTTAACGTTGTAATTTTTAATCAGAATCAGAAATATCATAACTGGATTTTCCGATGAAATGTCAGACTTCTCTCTGGTGATGTATGACACTTAATTTTGTTCACATAAACCCAGCTCTTTTGTACAAGTGACGTGAAGCTCACATTCAGATCTGCCTCTATCCAAACAACAACCAATGAACTGAACTAAATTCCCACCCATAAATACATTTTTTCGATAATCTGTTTCACTTAGATACAGAAAGGATCTATCTTTTACATGACATGGCTTTTACATCATTACTTCTTTTACATGGCAACTTTAATTTTAAAACATTTATTTTCAAATCCAAAAAATATTTCTGCAAGGGTTAGATTAAAGGTTAAGGGATAGAAAATATAAAAAGCTCAGCTTAAAACAGTTGGAAGCCAAAGAAAAGTCCCCATGCACTATGATAGAATGTGCGTGTTTGTGTGTAGCAGAGAGAACCGAAAACATGCTAGATGGCAAGATAGATGTGAGTGTGTGTGGGCTGTGAGAGAAAAACAGTCAGGAGGTTCAACTCATGGATTTATTGACTGATTCCTGGACAGACTGACAAAGAATAATGTTGGTGTTTGCTGACACGGCCTGGATAGCGAGCAGCAGAAGACTTGATGAGGATTCATTATTTATCTAAATTTAATCTGGTATCTTTAGAAAAAGAGAAGCAGGAGAGAGAATATTTCACAGATGGACAGAACAATGAATAACTGATCATTTCAATTAACCTGTTTAGTGGTGCAGGAAGTGAGACTGTTGGGGAAATGATGGGAAGTCGCATTTAATTGGTCCCGAGGACCGTGTGATTACTTGCTTCGGTACCCAGCTGACAAGAAGAGACAGTGAACAATCTTGCAAAAAAATGGTGAAATAATGATACCGTACTCTGCTAGCATCTTGTCCTGACTGTGGATTCTTGAGCCATAGAAAAAGGACAAAAAAGGCAGAAGTATCACATTGAGATCAATGATAACTTTTGAATGGCATGCAGGTGTCTTATGAACTGCCTAGACTTGGCAGAGCATGAAATAGCAGTGTTTCTTTCGATACGAACACAGCCACAGGGATGCTGAGCTCTGCTGTCTAAGATGTTGCTGGTTTCGGAAACACAAACTGTAGGCGGGGCTTAGTGGGAGTGGGAAAGTGGATGGGCCGTATCTGTCAATGATAATAAGGTATAGGTGTCTTGTTTAGAAATGTTCAGGGCTGATTGATGCAGTTATGTACATAATCGCTCTTTTCCCTACATGTGTCTGTCTCTTACAGTTTACACACTGGGAACCATTAATCCATGATGATCAATACAGTCTGACAGAGTCAACATGTTCCTCATTTTACACAAGCACAAGCACGAAATGCACATGCAGAGTGTTTCTGCACTTGTAACCAACCAGCAGGACCGTTAATTATTATTTAGGCTTCCAGAGGTTTTAGAGTGAGAAAATATTTCGATAAAATGAACCTTTGTTCAGTTCAGTTGTTATTTTAAGCCCCGTTCACACCAAGAACGATAACTATAAAGATAACGATATTAGCGAACGATATCGTCTGTTTATTCTAAGCGCATATGCGTCTGCCGCTTTAAATTCTCGAGCTTGTTGTAGCAGGATGGATTCTGATTGGCTGTCAATGTTTGTATCGTTCATCAGCTTGAAAAAAATCGTTCTGGAAGTGATTCCAACGATATTGTTTCTCTGTACCTTTATCGTTATAGTTGTCGTGTGGACTCTGCTATTCTTTAATATTGAGAACGATTTTTAGAACTATATCTTTATCGTTATCTTTAGTTATCGTGCTTGGTGCGAACGGGCCTTTAGTTTATTTTACTGTCACTGATTCTGAGTGCTGGTTTAATGGCTTTTAGTTAGTTCTTGGAGTCATGTTGTATATGGT